AGCCCCGCCCGGTCCCTCCCGGCGCACCCCTGCTCCGGCGACGGACCTGCCCCCGGGCCGGGAGACCACCGCCGGCGTGGAGGGGTGAGACTGCGCGGACCGGCCGCCGCGCAGACGGGCAGGGCCGGGCCCGCAGTTCCCAGAGCGGTCGGCGCCCGGGGCCCCTCTGCTGGAAAGGGGGTCGGTGTGTGAGACCCGTGTGAGCGGGTGTGGACCTCCCCCGCCGCGCACCAGGCACCGGGGCGTCACTGCCCCCGCTTCTGGGGGCCCACAGCGAACGCTCCAATATCTGACTTTCCGAGGAAAAACGTTAGCGTGCTTCCTTCAGCCCCTTGCAGAGGCGGGAAGGGGAGGAAGGGTCAGAACAGGGGGAGGGTTAACTCCGCGAAGGCCTTGGCGCGCTTTCCTTCCTTGTTCTCGCTCCACCCTGCTGGGTGGGCTTTGTGGTTGTCGTTTCAGGGAAGGGGAGATGAGACCAGAGCGACTGGCCTAACAGGGAGGTCCGGTAGAGGGGAGATTCACGTCCACCAGGGCTGCTCCCGTCCTACCCCAGGGCCTCGTCGCGGTGACAGGACGTGAGGAGCTCTAGGGGATGGCTCCTGCTTGGGTTGTGAGATGGGGAGAGGATGGTGGGGGCTGCAGGCGGCACGTGGTCAGAACACCCACAAAAGCCTACCTTAACTTGAAGAGGCTCAAAACGAGTTTATTCAGGAGTAGCTCAAAGAATTACAACCCAGGATGTGTGTGCAAGGGCGAACCATACTCAAATCCAGAGCATAAAGGAGCGGAGCTGGTTTTATAGAAAACAAGGGAGAGGGGGGCTGTTTTAAATATAGAAAACAAGGGAGAGGGGGGCTGTTTTAAAGGAAAGCCCATCCGGGGAAAGTATCAGTTCAGGGCGACAATGGCTTCTCATTGTCTGGGCTGTTGCCAGGCGGAGAGAGAAATCTTCCTTCAGCAGTAAAGTGGCTGTACTTCCTGGGGAAGATGCGAGCCCGGGTCTCTTCCTGGCTGGCGTCATGGACGGTGTGATGGGGTGAGAGCTCCTCCTGCAGGCCGGCCCGGCCCAGTTTAGTTGCGGGTTCTTTCATTGATTTCCACACCTGGGAACCCACGTAAACTCTGCGGAGCAGCTGCCGCCGCCGGAAACAGACGTGTAAAGGTGCTTGACGGTTCATTTGGTTGATACTTACTTTCTTCATCTATTCCGTTAATTATTAAAGACTGAGAAATCTGTGGCGTTAGTCTGGACACCCTAAAATTACCCTATTTTTTTTAAGGCTTTTATTTTGGAAGATTTCAAACAGGTACAAAAGTATAGAAAATACTATAATGGACCCTCAAGTATATATGACCAAGCTTTGACAATTTTTATTTTACCTTATAAACATCGCCTATTTTAGAGAAGGTAGGAGAAAGTGGTGAAGACGCAGGGCTCTCAAGATCGAATGTCTGGGTTGAAAGCCCAGCTCTACCAATGAGTAGCTGTGTGAACTTGGGTATGTTATTTCCTTGCATTAAAGCTTCCTTACCAGAAAAATTAGGAAGTAATTGTACCTCCTTCATTGATTATACCTCCTAAATTAATTGAATTAATATATGTGAAGTACTAAGTGCCAGCATACGTAGCACTCAATATGTTAGCTGTCATTGTCATTATTCTTCCAACCTCAGAGAGCCTTGCACGCTTATCACTCTCCCCCCACCCTGGCCCACCTGCTCAATACTGCTTACAGGCCAGGTGTCTGTTTCTACTTCGACGACCTCTTCTGGAGTAACTTGAACAGCGGGAAAAGATTGATTTTCTGGCCAGGCTCTTTACAGAGATAAGGAGATCATCTACAGAGGAAGGGAGGGAAGGAATTTGGGATTGGAAGGTAAGTGAGAGTTGTTTCTGTATGTGGTCTTCATTTACCATCTAATTGAGCTTTATCTTTGCAGCTGAAAATACAGTTTTTGAGGTGTAGGGATACACATGATGTACACCATGTACACAAGAAATGTTGGGTGTGTCTGCCAGAGAAAACCGGAGACTTTTAAAATTACTGTGATGCCATTAAGAATTTATTCCACAAATTCGGGTGTGTAATAAATATCTTATGACTTTATATTTAATAACAAAATTAAGTCTGACTTTGTTCCCATCTCTTTATTAATGGGAAATTAAATCTTAGTCATTATTGACTTCTTTACCTACAGAATTGTGGGAATTCCCTAGACTCTGAGGTGGAACAGAACATTTGGGGAAAGGCCTTGTGTCTTCAGTTTATACCAGATTATGCTGTCCAATGCTATATGGTCCTGGCAGTGGCTCCAAGATTCCTGAGACGTCTTCAGCAGGGGTTTCTGTGTTGAGTTCTAGGCTTCTTTAGGTGTCTCTGAGGTCCTCCATCCCCAGAGTACTGGAGGGAGCCTACAGAACCCACACACCTCTATTTTCTTCCCAAGTCTTAGAGGTATCTCTTCTCTCTTCTGTGCTGTGAGCCTTGCCTTCCTACTCTCAAAAGCACTTGCCTCTCTTTCTCCTTCTGGATGACATAGCAATCTCTTCAATCAGTTCAGGATTTTATTCCTTTGACTTTTTGTTATTAATGTAGCAGGATGTTCTTGTAGAATCCTCTTCTCCTTCCAAGAAGGAGTCAGGCATTTGTATTGCCATGAGTGAGGGGATTTGTATTGCAGGTTCAATGTCATACTCTGCAGAGCCAACGTCATCTCTGCCCATTTCTCCTCTCATCATAGAGGCCTTCCCTAACCACCCCACCTAAAGTAAGCCAGCCTCCCATTAATCTCTGTCATATTACCCTTTAAATTTCTTTCATGGCATACATTCTTAAATTATCTTGTTCATTTGTTTGTTGTATTTTTTCCTCCCCAACCCAGAACGCCTTATTGCTGTATTGCTACTTCCTGAAGCAGATTAAGAGCGCTCCCGTTAATTTACAAGCTTTAAGTATAATAATTCTTGAGCAGGTAATACACTCACACTAAAAGGTACACAAGGATATACAGTGAATGGCCTTCCTCCCCGACATGGTTTCCAGAAACCCAGTTCCCCTCCTAGGAGGTAACTATCACCGGCTTCTTCACACCTGCGTTTCTAATCCATGTCCTACTCCATTCAGAATTTCTAAGGCCTGGGGAGGTGCTTGTGAACAAAGTCGGCAGCATTTTCGTAGTCCCGTAAGGGTTTGGGCCGAGGGGTGACTCCCCGCGTCCCGTCTTCGCAACCACTCCCAAGGACGCCCGCAGAGGGAGAGCCCGCCGGCCCGCGCCTCCCTTCCGGCTTCCCGGGTATCCCGGACTCCGAAGTTTGACAGTTACCATGGCGCCGGGCGCTGTGCGTCTGACGTCACTCAGCGGCGCTGGCTGGTGACGCGTCAGTCCCGCGCCCTCTGAGGGCGGGGGAGCAAGTGTCGGGAGCCGGGCTCTTAGCGGAGCAGGGTCATGAAGAAGAGGCGGCGGGGGCGTGGAGCTGCCGTCGCTGCCCGCCGGGCTGGTGGCGTGGCTGTGTGGGACCGGCGCCGTTCGTAACCCGCTCTCGGGGCAGCGGCTGGGGCTCGGGGCTGAGAGCGGCCGCGGGGCCGCCCCGGCCCCCGGGCTCCGCCATGTTCCGAAGGGCACGGCTCAGCGTGAAGCCGAACGTCAGGCCCGGGGCTGGCGCCAGGGGCCCCGCCGCCCCCGCTGCCCAGCGCGGACAGGAGCCTCCCCGGCCGCCGGAGCCGGACGCGGCCGCGAAGCCGGCGGAGCCCGCAGATGTGCCCCCGGCGGGGCTCGGGGCGCCGCAGCCCCAAGAAAAGGCTCCCAGGAGCAGGTAAGCCTGCAGGGGGAGCGTCTCCTCTGCCCCGCCTCTCCGTGCCTCTCGCCGCGAAGCTGCGCTGATGAGCTGTGCCCGAGGAGCACGCGCGCGCTCGCTCTGAGCATCCAGCGGAGGCCCGGCGAACCCACTCCCGACTGCGGTGTGTCCTTCTGGCCACAGGGTGTGGCCAAGGGGGAGTTTGTTCCGGTCTGTAGGTTTTCCTGGAGGGCAGCAGGTCTTCAGGTGGTGGTGGGAGGAACCCAGGTGTAGTAGTCTTGAAGTGAGGAGTAGCTGCACGTGGTGCTGTTCATCGGAGAGTTTAGGTTACCGTAGTTCTTCGGGAGTACTTTGCGGGGGTAAGGAGTTTTTTAATTTTAAGAGCATTGATTTTTAAAACAAGACCAGTGTTGCTTTGGATCTGCTGATTAAGTCAACGAGAAGGAGGTCTGGTGACTTGCCTTCGTTTGAGGTGTGCCCCTTTAACTACGGTGACCATGTTTTCACGGAAAAGCATGTGTCGTGTTCCACATTTGGGTTTAGGAGTCCTTTACTTAACAGTTTAGTAGACTTTGCCCGGGTAGAATTTGCTTATCTGTGAAATTGGGATAATGTTACCTGCTTTGGAGAGTTTTTGTGGAGATTAGAGAAAACTGATGTAAAATGTGTTGCACAGGACATGGCAGAGTAGTTGCCTACAAAAAGTTGTTTTTTTGTGTGTGTGTGAGGAGATCAGCCCTGTGCTAATATCTGCCAATCCTCCTCTTTTTGCTGAGGAAGACTGGCCCTGGGCTAACATCCGTGCCCATCTTCCTCCACTTTATATGGGACGCTGGCACAGCATGGGTTGCCAAGCGGTGCGTTGGTGTGCACCCGGGATCCGAACCGGCGAACCTTGGGCCCCGCAGTGGAGAGCCGCACTTAACCGCTTGCGCCACTGGTCTGGCCCCTGCTATTTGTTTAAAATAAAGATGATGGAGCAAAGTAGAGACGTGTTGAGCAATAATGGCCTGCCTCGGTTTCTGTACTATGTATGTGAGGAAACCAATAAAAACCAACCCTATTAAATAAGAGTGAGATGTTATCAGTTCTGTTTATGCTCTGACAGGAAGGTGAAATTTTTATTTCTTTCTTTTTGGCTCAACTTCCTCTGTTGGTCTGAACAAGTGCGGGGTGTAGGGTGTTATTTTGCTAGTGTAGTGATGCTTAGTAATGTGCAAGTTTCTTGCATGAGTTTGTTTCAACATTTCTCCCAAAAATGGAGTTACAGATAGAAATACCAGTCACCGTTAATAAAGTTCACAGGGATCCTGTTTACTACGTATGAATGCATGATTGATAATGTAATAAATTATTCAGAGTTTGTAGTCTTGAGACATTTAAGCTCAAGGATGTTTAAATTTTTTCTTAGGGTTGACATTTAGGGAGTAAAGTTTGTTTTTTATCATATGTTCTCTCTTTTTTGTGGGTCTTTGCTAGTTGTAAAAATCTACAAGGTGTGTGTTCTGTTCTTATGCATTCAACATAGCTGGGTGAAATGCAAATGGTGTATGTATCACATAAGGGCTGAGATAAGAATTTAAATTGGAGACTTTGGAAAGGTTATTCTATAGGTTTAGGCATTTTCCACTTTTACACAAAACTAATCATAACATATGAAAAAAGAGACTTTTTTTTTTTTTGTGAGGAAGATTGGCCCTGGGCTGACATCCGTGCCCATCTTCATCTTCCTCTACTTTATATGGGACGCTGCCACAGCATGGCTTGATAAGTGGTGCATTGGTGCGCACCCGGGATCAGAACCTGTGAACCCTGGGCCGCCAAAGAAGAGCACACGAATTTAACAGCTACGCCACCGAACTGGCCCCCAAAGAGACTGTTTTTAATTCTTAACTCATACACTCTCTCGTCTTGACTTAATTTGCTTTCAGGCCATTCCTGAAATATTTATGTCCAATCTGAACTGTACCTAATATGTAATTTTGGAATGACTGAGAACTTTTTTGAGTGAAGAGTTTGATAGCTGTATAAGTAGAGTGATACCTGACAAAAGATAAATGATTTCTCCCTCAAACAGAATTTTGTTTGTTTAATGTAGCTAAATGTATATCTTCAAATCTGCAATACAGATATTTCAGAGGTTTGAAGTTTTGTATGTTTGATTTGACTGATCTCAGGTTAATAATTTAAAGTAAAATGCCAATAATTTAGATCAGTTTAGGGTAATGTCAGTGTGGATTACAAACTTAATTTAAAAAAAACCAACTCTCAGTTATCTAGTGATTCAAATTAGGCTAATTAAGCTTTGTTTTGTGTCTTAGATTTTGGTTGTTTTTTTTTTGAAGGACCTGGCATGAGCATAACATTATGTGTTCTCATGTGCTTAGGGACTTGAAGTTTGAAAAAAGATCAACAATCTTCATTAGAGTTTACATATCTGTTAAAAAGATATACTGAACAAAATTTTTATTGCAACCTCTGTCATAATTAACATATTTCTCAAGTCATTGATTTTTTAATAAGACTTGACTATTTTAGATTTTTACCAGACTAATTTTTAAAACTAGAATATTTAAAAGAAGACCTGTGGTGCCTTTTTTTTTTTCTTTTTTAATTTTAACAGTGATGAAAAGCCTGATGGTGAGAATGATGTTGAAGAACCCAGTAAATGTTCCCCTACTGTTTCACAGAGAAGAAAGCGAATATCAAGTACTCCTACTGTGGTTAAGCCTAGTGTCAGCGTTCCTTCAGAACCTCATCCATTGGAGATACCAGTTAATCAAGCAGTTCCACAGCCAAACTCTGTTCCAACGAAAGAGAAACAGCCATGCTCAGACAGATATCGAATATATAAAGCCCAGAAACTGAGAGAAATGTTAAAAGAAGAATTGCGAAAAGAGAAGGTAAGGGAGAAAAATCAGAATTTTGGTTGTTGCCTGGTAGATTTCTGTTTTTATGTTAGTCAAGCATCATTGGGAGGAAAAATAAGCATCTGTAGCATTTTGAAAGGGAACAAAACTAAATAACCTCCGTCATGTTAATGGAATATCCCCTTTTGTTAACAGAATGATTAAGAAGCTCTGTGGACTTAAGCAATTTTTTCTTTTTTCTTTTTTTTTTTTTTTTTTAAAGTTTTTTTTTTTTTTTTGCCCCCAAAGCCACAGTAGATAGTTGTATGTCACAGCTGCACACCCTTCTAGTTGCTGTATGTGGGACTCGGCCTCAGGATGGACAGAGAAGTGGTGCCTCGATGTGCACCCGGGATCCGAACCCGGGCCGCCAGCATCGCAGCGCGCGCACTTAACCACCAAGCCACAGGGCCGGCCAGCAATTTTTTCCACGATATTAATTTTTATATATTTTATTAGTTTATATCTTTCATTGTTTTTGGTGAAGGCCACAAATAGAAGTTTTATACACACGCGCGCGCGCGCACACACACTCACACAAGCATATTTATAAAATAAACCTTCAATCACATTTTTTGTGAAGATGTCCAAGTGACGTGAGTTATATCATTTGAATTAAGACAAGTACTGTTGAGCAAAATGATTTGGTAATGTTTTTTAAGTTGACAATATGGAAAATTATAAATGGGAAGAATTTGCCTGTATGCATATAGGAGAGCCTGTGTTCTTTGTACTCTTGAAGATGGATCGGTTTTCTGAGAGGACAACGTAACAGTAGTGAAGCATGCAAGCTCTGGAATTAGACACTTAAGGTTTGAATCTTAGATTAGTCCCTTACACTGTAACCTTGAGAAATTTAATTAATCTTTCTGTGTCTACTTTTTCATCTGTAGAATAGGACCGATGATGCTATCTACCTCGTTGGAGGGTTGTGAAGACTGGATGAGTTAATACACGTAAAACACATTTAGACTACTGTCTGGCAAATAGTAAGGCCTGACAGATGTCAGCTTTTATTAATTATAGAATGCGCCTTTTTTTTTTACTTAAGAGGAAATCATTTAGCTTGGTGCTTTATATTCATTATCTCATTTAATTCTCTCAATTATGTGAAGTAGATATCACTATTTTACACAGGAAGAAACAAGCTCAGAGAGGTTATTTGCTTTGTGTCAAACATCAGTGGAGGATATGGAATTTGAATCCATATCCTCTAAAATCTAAGCCTCTAAAAATGGTCTATGTTTTATAGTGTCTGCTTAATTAGATTTCTTTTGGGAAATTAAAAATTAAACATTTGCTTCAAGAGTTTTATAAAATACACAGAATTCTGATTCACCACAAGGTAAATAAAAGCTGTATTTATAAATTCTCAGTAAACTATTGTAGTTAGAAGGCATCAGTAAGCATGATTTTATTTTTTATTTTTATTTTTTTATAAAGCATAATTTTATACATTGAGCTTTTATCCAGTCCCAGTCACGTTAGTTTTTAAAATTCCTTAATGTGCTGCAACCTTTTAATATTCAGTTTATAAAATTTTTCCTAAAATTAGGCATAATTGTGGTAGGAATAACATTCAGGCACTTGAATGCATCAGTGGGCTATATTCGAATGTAGTACATCTGAAATTCTATATTTATAAAATAAAAGTGGATCTGTGTCTGTGTTTGTGTATCTAGAAGCAATGGAAAACCAAGTGTGCCGTAAATGAAAATCAGAGGCCACCAGATCGTTCAAAAATGACTATGAGAGACTTCATATATTACCTGCCAGATAACAATCCAATGACGTAAGTAAACTTTATTTTGTTTTTCTTTGAGTATGTAGTGATTTAAGTATCACTTTTAGAGTACAGTTTCTTGTTTCCCAAAAGCACGTTTACAAAATTTATAGCGTATATGATGTCCTTTTAGATAGAATTTTATGATACAAGAGAGTGGTATTTCAAGTAACTGCTTTCTTGGGATGGTGAATGATGCCCTTTACCTCTGAGATTAAAAACAGGTTTCCTTTGTTATGTTACCAAGATGTGGTAACACCAACTAAACAGCTTTTCTCTAATCAAGACTGCAATTTCTGTTTCTTTTAACTATAACTTGATTTAAAGGGGTGATCTTGGGCCGGCCCCGTGGCTTAGCGGTTAAGTGCGCGCTCCACTATTGGCGGCCCGGGTTTGGATCCTGGGCGTGCACCGACGCACCGCTTCTCCGGCCACGCTGAGGCCGCGTCCCACATACAGCAACTAGAGGGATGTGCAACTGTGACGTACAACCATCTACTGGGGCTTTGGGGGGAAAATAAATAAATAAAAATGAAAGGGGTGATCTCATTTTTATGCCTCCTCGTTAAATGCAGTGCATTTATTAACAAACCCTCCAAGAGCAAAGCTGCTGCTGCTGCTTTTTTTTTTTTTTTTTTTTTGCTGAGGAAGATTTGCCCTGAACTAACATCCATTGCCAATCCTCCTCCTTTTTTTGCCTGAGGAAGATTAGCCCTGAGCTAACATCTGTGCCAATCCTCCTCTATTTTTTTGCATGTGGGACTCTGCCACAGCATGGCTGGTGAGTGGAGCAGGCCCACGCCTGGGACCCGAACCCACGAACCTGGGCCACCGGAGCAGAGTGCACAGAATTTTAACCACTTGCCATGGGGCCAGGCCTGAGAACACAGCTTCTTTATTTATTTTTGTGTGTGTGAGGAAGATCAGCCCTGAGCTAACATCTGTGCTAATCCTCCTCTTTTTGCTGAGGAAGACCGGCTCTGAGCTAACATCTACTGCCTATCCTCCTCCTTTTTTTTTCCCCCCAAAGCCCCAGCAGACAGTTGTATGTCATAGCTGCACATCCTTCTAGTTGCTGTATGTGGGACGAGGCCTCAGCATGGCTGGAGAAGCGGTGCATTGGTTGGCGCCCGGGATCCGAACCCTGGCTGCCAGCAGCGGAGCGTGAGCGCTTAACCGCTAAGCCACGGGCCCAGCCCCAGAACAAAGCTTCTTTAATCAAAGTGAGCCTCAGGGGGCAGGGAGTTGATGATAAATCTCCTCCTTGTTGTGTCCTTGGTGGTTTAGCAGGTGGATGTAGGAATAGTGCACATTTCCTCTGTAGCGTTTTTCAGGTTCAGTGAACCCTAGGTCTTTGGCCTAGTTGAAGGATGGGCCAGAAACCTAGGTTTTGAGTTTGACATCTAGGAGTTGGAGATGAGCCCCTGAGTTGCTTCCTGCTGCAGGACTGGGAGCCTTCCTTCCCTGAGGAATGAGACGGGGAGAGCATTCCCTGCTTAGGGCCTAACAGATTATTTATACTTGATGACACAAGTTTTTGACTGAAAAATGGACTGTTGGACCACACCGTCATTAATAGCAGTGTTATAGTAGATCATAAAATGTAAATTAATTATTTATTAAAAGGTACTCTGTTATTTGTGTTTAATAGTTCTTCACTGGAGCAAGAAAAGAAAAATGAAAAATCATTGACACCAGTCCAGACAAGAGAGTAAGCATCTCGTCTTATTCTTTTTTGAATATATTCTGTTATGGGTACATTTTTTTACAAATGAAATCAAATGATGCTTCCTATTATAGTCAAATTACATGTGATAGGAATTTTTAAATAGAATCACTAACAAGAATAAAAGTTACTGCCTGATTTAAATCAATATGAAAGACCACACTATTTGTGTATTACATATACAAATGGCCAATGTTATGATTTTAAATTAAAACTTTTAGAATTAAAAAGGGTTTTGTTTTATTTTAGAATAATGATATAGTCCCATGGTACAAAATTCAAAAAGAGCAAAAGTATCTTGAGAAGAGTCTTCCAGCTCTGTTTTTCTGCCCTCTAGTTCCTCTCCCTGGAGGCAACAAATGTTACCAATTTCTTAATGTATCATTGTAGTTCTAGTCTGTGTCTGTCCCAGCAAACATGTATATATCTTCCTTTTTTCTTTCTCCTTCCTTTTAGCATTCTGTGTAAGCTGTCCTGCGATAGGTATAGTTTTGATGCCACTAGGGAGTCTGTTTTTTGTACAGACTCCCTGTTGCCTTCCATGTTGTGCTGTCTTATGTTAGCTTACTCCCAAGAAATTCCTCCAAGAGACCTCTTAGGAATATAGCCTTGTAATTCAAGATGGGGGATTGTGGAAAATTAGCAGAAACATTGGGATTTTTCTGGTTGTTACATAAAGGATTATTAAGTAATGATCACTGTTTTGCTTAGAATCTCTGTTGTTTTAAAGCAGAACTTTAGGAGTTCCAAAACCTTAAGGAGATAATGTAATTGAATGGAAAGTATATGGGATTTGGAGTCATTATTTGGAAAACTCTTTGGCTTCTTCATCTACCCTTACTGTTGTGTAGTTTAGAGCAGAAGTTATCTTCTCCAAGCCTCACATGAGTGTGAAAGTCCTAACCCCCAAGGGTTATTCTGAAGAGTTAATAAAGGTATCTGGAAACTAATGCTATATAGCTGTAAGGGTTATTTTTGTTAATTCCATAATAACGGGATGGTTTACTGTGATACTCTATTCAGACAGAAAAGAGGAGCATTTCTTTCTTTTTATTTTCGAAGAGAATAACGCCTTCTTATTAAATGCTACCAGATAAAATTTGAGAAAATCTTATAACCATGTCGTGAACAGCACAGCACATAGTATTTTCAATTAGGTTATAGAGCAAGTTGGAAATACAAAGTTGAATTTGCAGTATTTTATTTTGGAAGTTCATAGTATCGAGCGAACACTTGTCGTATGTGAGTTAACATATCTTTCTATTTGGCAGGCAAGAAGGTAAGAGTACTCCTGATGCTGGAGATGATGACCAAGTACAGGAGGAGGTGGACGAAGGGCCATTACTGGTTCCTCGAGTAAAGGTGGCAGAAGATGGTTCTATTATTTTGGATGAAGAAAGGTAAGTTTAAAAAAAGAGAGAGAGATTATGGTTTTGTGAGAACAAACATGCTTTGTCTAATGAGAGAGATTGAGTTTCCATATCTGTCGTTGTCACTTAGTTTCTGATGTTTATGTTTGCATAATGGATGATGTAAATAGAAAGGTGGGTTAGGTTCATTTTTAATTTTTTAGCAATGTTTATAATACTGTGCATTGTCTGAGAAGATGGTACTGTTGACCTATCATCCGTTAACCTACCATCGTTGTTACTAACTTTACTGGTAATTGGGATGAGCTATTGAACTAATCATGTGCGGTCCTTCACCGAGGATAGATTTTAAAGATTGACTCTGTCTTGAAGTCAGTATTCAAGTTTGCATATTATTAACCAATAGCATGTTCTTGTGTGGTGGTAACTAATGAAAATGCAATGAAACATTAATTCACTTTCTGGTTTAATTTCTCAGTCATAACATTAAATTTCTCACATTTGGCATTGTGGAATTTGTTGTCTTTCCAAAGTGTATTTTTTAAGAAAGATGATAAAATAGTAAGTAAATAAAAAAGAGGGATGGAAAGTCTTCTGGCAGTTTAATTAGTAAAAAATCATTTTATAGCATATAAATTTTATGATAATTAAATGTAATACTGTCAATAATAATTGCTTTTACATGTTGTTTTCCATTATTTTGTGATAATTTTACTGGTCATTAGATAGTTAAGAGCGTATTTCATTGCTTTGCAGGAATGTAAAACTTTAATATAAAACGCTTATGTTTTTCAGTATCCCCTATTGTGTCTAGCACTATAAGGTAATAGGTATACTAAATATAGGAGACATGCAGAAGACCATAAAACAAATAATTTTTTAGATGGCCCAAAGATATTTTGTGAATTTTATATTGCTGTTAAGGATTTTGAAAAAAAAGTTGGCATTTTTTACTCCCTGGCAATCACATTTTAAGTGAAAACTAGCTTATTTTTGGAAAATATGCATACCTCAAATGTACATTATTATACTTTTGATATGACTTCTGCCACGGTATATTTCAAATGTAACTACTCAAATCTCATTTACTATTTGTTTCCTTACTTGTTTTTAATGTGAATCTATTTAAAAACGTGTTTCTTTCAGTTTAACTGTAGAAGTTTTAAGGACAAAAGGCCCCTGTGTTGTTGAGGAAAATGATCCCATATTTGAGCGTGGTTCTACAACTACATATTCCAGCTTTAGGAAAAGCTATTACTCTAAACCTTGGTCAAATAAAGGTAAGTAATTTTCATTTTAAATTGTGTAGGTTATTTATTTGAAATAAAGTGAATTGTTTTCTCTGTTCCTGAATTAAACCATGTCTACCCTAAGTAAATAAAATGCAAACTACAATGTTGTTTCCTCTCTGCTTGAATTTGTGGGCACCTCCTCCTGCCCCCTGCCATGGGATGATATCTCTGACTTTATTTTAGAAATCTTTTTAGGAATTAGCATTATGGTCATTTTGGCTGAAATATTTCTCTGTGAAAAATTAACAATATTTCTAATGCTCATAATAATGTTCTGCTTCAGATGGTATTATGTGATAGTTTCTAAAAGGTAAAATTTATGCTGTTAAAAAAGTATATAATACCTATTGCATGCTGTTGCATATTACTTACTTTTTATTATAAAAATAATGCAGTTTGTTTTGGGGAAAAATTCAAACACAACAGAATAATATAGAGTGAAAAGAAAGATTCTGTATTTCCCTTCTCTGACTTCCCCAATCCTATTCTCTTGAAGTTACTTCCATTAACAGTTTCTGGTGTATTTTTCCAGTTACTTTCTTTCACATACTACTTAGCACATCTTAGTTGCTTACATAACAGTAGCATTGTACTGGCTATGACTAACAGTTTTTTTCAGGGCACTTTGAGACCAGATACGCAGAATGTGGTTTTTTGTTTTTGTTTTTTGTTTTTATTCCAGCTGCTTTGGTATCAGCATGCAAATTTTCTAATACCGTGTTTCTACATACAAGTTTAAAGAAGGTGTTTTTAGATTTAAGAGGTTCTTGGCAATAAAATTGAAATATGTGTATGTATATGTAGACAGATGTACGTCTATGACTAAAGATTTACTGGATTTTAATAAAAAAACTATTAAGTACTGTCAAATTTATTTTTAACTCAAACTATTTGCTTATGTAAATTTTTTTTCCTCTGAATATTAAGATTAATCTTCAGTCTTTCTAAATCTTTTATTTTTACAGAAACAGATATGTTTTTTTTAGCCATCAGCATGGTAGGAACTGACTTTTCTATGATTGGACAGCTTTTTCCTCACAGAGCAAGGATAGAAATTAAGGTAAAGTAAATGCGTTACATTTGTTGATTGGAAAGAGACCAAAAATTACTAATACTGTGTTTTTAACCTTTGATTTAAATTTCAGTCCATCCTTTTTCACTAGTGTGTTTTGGTACATCTGTCCCTCTTTATAGCTCAAAAAGTAATATTTCTCAATTCTAGTATGAGTACAGTCTCCTTAACTTGAGTATTATATTTTCTTATTTATATCTTGCCCACTCCTAAGATGGATTTGAGGGAGTGTTAATAAAGCCACTGAAACTAAGATAAAAGAAGAGTTAGATAATGAAAAGAAAGATAAATGTAGCAGAATATTTGGGTTAAGGGTAGCTTTTTGGACACAACATATATTTCTGAATATCCTAGGAAGGCATGAAGAGAAGCATGCTAAGTTACATAGTTCTCATTGTCCGATCTAACCATTGCTTTTCTACCCCACCTTAACTGTGAGGACAACCAGTGTCACTATTAACAACAGCAGTGATGTCAGTTAGTGCTTTAATATGCCTGAAAGGATGAGCTTTCTCTGTTTTATAGTTCCCTCTGCTGAGAAGCATCCTTACGAGCTTCCTGCGTTGGAGTGTGTTTGAGTGCACGCTGTGTTGCTGTAATGCATTTCCAGCTCTCAGTGAGCTCTTGTCCACCATGGGCTTTTTCTGTCATGAATTAGAGGGACCATTAGGAAAGATAGTTTTTTTTTTTTCCCACTAGACCAGGCATGGATCAATTGCCTGGGGACCATTGTACAGTGTAATGGTTATTATGTTTCTGCAGAAGATGAGGAATTGTTTATATTCTTTATGTTCCCTTTTCTAATGTTGATACTTGATATAAGGAGAACAAAATGTTAAAGTTCTGTGAAGGCTAGAAATTGATTGTCTTGGAGAGCACCCAGATCTGAGTAATTAATGATAAATTTGTAACTAGACCCATTTCTCTCAAAAATCATTTAGGGCCAATCCAGGTGGCCTAGTGGTTAAGTTCAGCGAGCTCTGCTTTGGCAGCCTGGGAGTTCCTGGGCATGGACCTACACGACTCATCTGTTAGTGGCCATGCTGTGGCGGTGGCTCACATAAAGAAAAAAGAAAAAGAGGAAGATTGGCGACGGATGTTAGCTCAGGGCAAATCTTCCTCAGCAAAAAAAAAAACATTTAGATTCTTCCCCTAAAAGTTTAGTGTGGTTCCAGCAGGTCTTTGGACAAATCGTAGAAAAGTGAAAATGGACTAGTGAATTACCTTGATTTTTGAACCAACCTTGTATTCCTGGGTTAAATCCCATTTAGTCATACTGTATAATTCTTTTTATATATTGCTGAATTTTATTATGTTTTCTTGAGGGTTTTTTGTATCTTTCTTCATGAGGGATATTGGTTTGTAATTTTCTTTCTTTTTTTGTTTTATAAACAACAGAAATTTATTTCTCACAGCTCTCAAGGCTGGAAGTCCAAGCGCAGGGTGCCAGCATAGTCAGGTTCTGGGGAGGGCCCTCTTCTGGGTTGCGGAGTTCTCATTGTATCTTACCATGGCAGAAAGAGGTTAAGAGCTCACTGGAGTCCCTTTTATAAGAGCACCAATCCCATTTCTGAGGACTCTGTGCTCGTCACCTAATTGCCACCAAAGGCCCCACCTCCTAATACCATCGCATTGAGGGTTAAGATTTCTTTTGTTTTTTTAATTTGCTTACCTTTTGACCCCCTTCACCCATTTCTCCCATTCCCAGCCCCCTGTGTCTGGCAACCACCAATCTATGAGCTTGTTTTTTTGTTTATTGTTTTTAAAGATTTTTATTTATTTATTTTTCCCCCAAAGCCCCAGCACATAGCTGTCCGTCATAGCTGCACATCCTTCTAGTTGCTGTATGTGGGACGCGGCCTCAGCATGGCCGGAGGAGCGGTGCCTCGGCGCGCACCCGGGATCCGAACCCGGGCCGCCGGCAGCGGAGAGCACGCACCCAACCGCTAAGCCACGGGGCCGGCCCTGTTTATTGTTTTTAGATTCTACATATAAGAGAGGTCATATGGTATTTCTCTTTCGCTGTCTTATTTCCTTAGCATAATGTCCTCAAGGTCCATCCATGTTTTCTCAAGTGGCAAGATTTCATTGTTTTTTATGACTGAATAGTATTCCTGTGTGTGTGTGTATACACACCAAATTTTCTTTATCCATTCATTAGTCACTGGACACTTAGGTTGTTTCTATGTCTTGACTATTGTAAATAATGCTGCAATGAATAGGGGGTACAGATATCTTTTTGAATTAGTGTATTCATTTCCTTTGGACAAATACCCAGAAGTGGAATTGCTGGATCATATGGTAGTTCTATTTTTAATTTTTTGAGGAACCTCCCAACTTTTCCATAGTGGCTGTGCCAGTTTACCTTCCCACCAGCACCATATGAGGGCTCCCTTTTCTCCACATCCTCTCCAACGTTGTTACTTCCTGTCTTTTTGGTAATAGCCATTGTGACAGGAGTGAAGTGATATCTCACTGTGGTTTTGGTTTGCATTTGGATTATGCTTTTTTATCCATTCTGACACTCTGCCTTTTAATTTAATTTTATTATATATTGCATTTCTGCAAGAGATGAGGAACTGTTCATCATATTCTTATGTTCACCCTTGATAAAAATAAAACAAAATGTTTGTTTTACATTTTATGTAGTAACAGTTCATTTACATTTATAATTTTATTTATTTATTTATTTTTCCCCCCAAAGCCCCAGTAGATAGTTGTATGTCATAGCTGCACATCCTTCTAGTTGCTGTATGTGGGACACGGCCTCAGCATGGCCGGAGAAGCGGTGCGTGGATGCGTGCCCGGGATCCGAATCCGGGCTGCCAGCATCGGAGTGCGCGCAGTTAACCGCTAAGCCACGGGGCCGGCCCCATTTACATTTAATGTAATAATTGATATGGCTGGGTTTAAGTCTACTATCTCACTATTTTCCATTTATCCCATCTTTTTTTTTTTTTTAAAGATTTTATTTATTTATTTTTCCCCCAAAGCCCCAGTACATAGCCGTATGTCACAGCTGCACATCCTTTTAGTGGCTGTATGTGGGACGCAGCCTCAGCATGGCCAGAGAAGCGGTGTGTCGGTGCGCACCCGGGATCCGAACCCGGGCCGCCAGCAGCGGAGCGCACGCACTTAACCGCTAAGCCACGGGGCCGGCCCTATCCCATCTTTTTTATTCATCTTTTCCTGCCTTCTTTTCGGTTAATCAGATACTTTTTAGTATTACGTTTTATTTTCTTTATCGTGCCTTTTTACTCTTTATAATTCGTACTTTGCAGATAATAACCTCCTACGAGTGTGATTCTGTTCACCCTCCGTCCTTAGTGCTACTGCGTATTTTACTGCTACCTTGTACACCCCCCTTACAGTGAACTTATTTTAGCTTAGAGTCTTTGGTCTTTAGAGGAAATTGAGTGGAAAAAGGAAACTAGTCTTTACTGTTCAGCCACATGGTTACAGTTTTTGATGCTTTTCATTCCTTGTTGGTCTGAACGGCAGATCTGCTGTTGAAAAATTCTCTCAGCTTTCATTTATCTGAAAGTCTTTATTTCAGTCTCATTTTGGATGGATATTTTTGCTGGATATACAATTCTGGTTTGACAGTTTTTCCTTTCAGTTTCTTAAAAATATCATTCCATTGTCCACCGGCCTCCAGTGTTTCTGATGCAAAGTCAGCCATTATTCATATCATTCTTCTCCTGTATGTGTTGAGTTGTTTTTCTGTGGCTGTTTTCAAGACTTTATTCTCTAACTTTGGTGTTCAGCAGTATGATTATGATTTGCCTAGGGGTAGCTTCTTTTTAATATGTTTTCTGCTTTGATCTCTCCTTCGAGGACTCCACTTACATGTGTTACTCCGTATGACCTTCTACTACAGGTTACTAAAGCTCTGTTCATTTTTTTTCCAATCTTTTTTTTCTATTTTGGTTTGGTTAGTCTCTATTACCATGCTTACAAGTTCACTAATCCTGTCATCTGCTAGCCTCAATCTGCTGTTAAGTCCGTTCAGTGAATGTTTCATTTCTGATATATTTTTCATTTCTGTAATTTCCACTTAGTTATTTTTCTTAGTTTCTGTTCCTCTGCTGAGATTTTTTATGGGTTCATTCCGTATTTTCCTTTAATCCTTGAACATATTTATAACAGATGCTTTAACTTTCTTGTCTGCTAATTTCAACATCTGGGTCTTGTTGGGGTCTGTAACTGTTGACTTTCTTTTTATTTCCTTGATTGTGCATCACATTTTTCTATCTTTTCTCATGTCTTGTGGGTTTATTATTAGTATTATTGCATGCTGCCATAGTGGATGATGTGTGTATGGTGTCTGGATTATGGTTTTTTTTCTTTAAAGAGTGTGAGTTTTGTTCTAGAAGGCAGTTAATACACTGCCATCTCTCCTCATTTCTGTCAAGTCTTGGTTTTAGGCTTTGTTAAGGCAGATCTGGGCTGGTCCTTACTCTAGGTTTCTCATCTGAACCACAGGAAGTAATTTGAGTTTACTGTTTTCTAAGTTCTCCAAGGATGGTCCTATTAGTACCATTCTAGGTGCATAGAAGGTAATTCATTACACATAGGGGATGCCTTAGGGCATTAGGGCTTAATTCTCATGCTAGAACCCCGATTGAGAAAGGCTGCCTGAGGTGTGGTCCTTAACTCTAAGTAGTGCCCTTTTTGGTGTTTGAGCTGCACGTCTGGGTGTTAACAAGTCTTTCCATTCGTGTAGGCTAGAACTCTGTCGTCTGCTGTGTTATGTGACTTCTGGTGTCTTTCTTCTGCTCTCATCCCTGTAGTAGCTGTTCTCCACTAGGCCTCGTGCTCTGGGCATATGCAACCCAGATGTAGACCAAGGGCTTAGAGGGTACTTCCCCCAGGCTCGTGAGGCTTCCCTTTGAATAGCTCTCTTCTCTCTAGAGCCCTGTCCCTAAAGATTCTCTCCCTCCTCATCTCAGTGGGACTTTTTGTGCTCTGGGTGGCCTCTATCTCCCTTTTGTTGGTTAGGAAATTTAGCTCAGGCAAAGAGCCAGAGTGAAGGTTGGTACATCTTGTGTGCTTCCCTTCTCTCTGGGATTGTGGGATTGTAGTCTTCCTTTGCCTATTGTCCAGTGCTTGAAGATAGTTGATGCATTTGTTTTGTTCAGTGTTAAAGTTATTTATGATGGCGTCGAACGTGTGTAACAAGCGCATAACCAGTTACTTTGTTGGGGCCAGAGGTGGAAATTATGGAATTTATTTTATGATCATGGAATTTGCCCTGCAGTGGTTCTTGCCTATGAAATCAATAACTAATATCAATACATTCTTCAAAAAAGTTTTTTTTTTTTTTGTGAGGAAGATCAGCCCTGAGCTAACATCCATGCCAATCCTCCTCTTTTTTTATTTTTTTGCTGAGGAAGACTGGCCCTGGGATAATATCTGTGCCTATCTTTCTGCATGTTATATGGGTCACCGCCACAGCATGGCCTGACAAGTGGTGCATCGGTGTGCGCCTGGGATCTGAACCTGGCCCGCCAGCAGTGGAGCGCATGCACTTAACCGCTACGCCACAGGGCTAGCCTTCACAAAAGTTTTTAATGTTCTGAATTATATTCCCAATTAGGTAAAATATGATGTAGCAATGTTTTAGAATAGAATAATGCCCAAAGCCTATTAGCATTTCTCTCAGGATGTTTAGTTTAGTGAGTATAGCCTGTCACTTATTATGGAGGTAACTTTTGAGAAGATGTTTAAAGAGTAATATGATCTTTTAAGGGAAAAGGATGATCATCATTGAAAACTTTTCTGTTACTTGGTAATAAGTTTTATAAGGAAAAATAAAGAATGGAAAAGAGGGGTAACCTCTAGATTAAAAGATGTTAAAGTCATATTAAGTTTTTAAAAAATTTGAAGGCTAACCTATCGAGTCTGAGGATGAAGTTTTGAGTGATGAGCAGGAAGTGCAAGAGAGTAATTGCTTTGACAGTTGGGTCAGTAGTTTGGTTCTTTCAGAGGGAAGACGGGGGCCATGAAGCAGGTCCTTTGTCTTCTGTGATTTTCTCTATTTTTTTCAATAAAAAGTTTTATTTTTCTTTTTTTAATAAAGTTTTAGACCACTGATCTGTAGAAGGGAGAGACTGGCGGATTGTTCTCCCCCTGGATGTGTGTGCGTGGTTAGACGTGCTCAGACACAGACTTATGCCCTGGGACTTCCTGGTGGCCTTAGGGTGCATTGAGCCTTAAACCGTTAACTGTCTCCATCTTAATGTAGTTAATCGGGTCATAGGTGCCCAGAAAAGCATGAGGAAATGTCCCCAAATACAAAGAAGTTTCCAAAGATAAGCTTGGTCTGCTTAACAGTTTTGCTTAGTTGTTTCTTTTCAGTCTCCCCTCCAAGCCATGAAAAACATGTTAGAATACTAATGTAAGAGGTTTGACTTGATGTGACTGTATTCGTTTTTTTTTTTTTTAATAATTTTATTTATTTATTTTTTTACCCCCAAAGCCCCAGTAGATAGTTGTATGTCATAGCTGCACGTCCTTCTAGTTGCTGTACGTGGGACGCGACCTCAGCATGGCCAGAGAAGTGGTGCGTCAGTGCGCGCCCGGGATCCGAACCCGGGCCGCCAGCAGCGGAACACGCGCACTTAACCGCTAAGCCACGGGGCTGGCCCCATATTCGTTTTTAAAGAGTTAATACGGCTTGGCTTAATCGATGATCAGTTTGATCTGTTTCCATGCTAGTTGACTTTATGTTTTTCTGTCCTCTGTAAATCCAGCTTCCGTTGCTGATTCTTACTGTTGATCCTAAGGAGCTTCAGGAAGCTTAGTATAAATCTTTCATCTCTATTTTTAAAAAGCCAGAGGTTTAAGTAACTTGCCTATAGGCAAAGACATTTAACCTATTAGAGAATCATATGTTGTTATAAGACTTTGAGTTTAATGCTTATTGTTGCTTTTTTCTTAAACAAAATCTTCACTTGTTTAATGGAAGAAAATTACTATAGGGTTTTTTGTTTTGTTAACAGAATAAATTTAAACGTGAAGAGAAAACAAATGGATGGAGAATAGACAAAGCATTCCGTAAGTATTAAGACTTCTTTTACAGTGTATCATTTGGAGATCCTAAAATATGACCAATCTTTTGTCTTTGGTTCCATTGTGTTTTAGATTTGTTTTGTACTATATTGTCATAGGAAGAATAAGACTGGACATGTTTCCCTTTAGCGGTGCAGGTGTGGCAGCTGATACAGATCTGTAAGCAAGGGATTAGCTAAAACATCAAGAAGCAAGTAAGCAGAGTTCTGATCCAAGAGGTTACAGATGGGCTGAAGATACCATTTCTGAATGCGCTTTATTCTGAGGGAGCTGCATTCAAGAAGGAGTTAATTGTTTCTGGAAGATATTATGTTGTAGATGAGGCCTTCCAGCCGTCAGTCAGTCATTCAGTCAATAGTACTGCCCACCTGCTGCCTGCTAGTCACTGGTGTAGGCGTTGAGGATATAGTGGGGAACAGGCTAGATGAGAATCCTGCATTTAGATCCTTAAGTCTAATTGGGTGGGGGAAGGGATATAGTTGGTAAGCATGATGATTTCAGAGAATGATTAATTTCTAAGAAGAAGGAAAAAGCGGGAGTTAGGGGATGGATGTTTAGATTGAGCGGTCAGGGAAGTTCTGTCTGAAGAGATGACGTTTAGATTTAGACTTTTTTGAAGGAATGAAGGAACCTTTCAGCTTCTAATAGCCTCATTAAAATTAACATTTTAACTTTTTAAGTTCAGAGAAAGACATCAAGGGATCTGTAAAGAAAAACAGAATTAAATGTAGTACTGTTTAAAGTAGCTTCTACAGGGCCAGCCCGGTGGTCCAGCGGTTAAGTGCGTGTGCTCCACTGCGGTGGCCTGGGGTTCCCAGGTTCGGATCCTGGGTGTGCACCTACGCACCGCTTGTCAAGTCATGCTGTGGCGGCATCGCATATAAAGTAGAGGAAGATGGCTATGGATTTTAGCTCAGGGCCAATCTTCCTCAGTTAAAAAAAAAAAAAAGAGGATTGGCATCAGATGTTACTTCCGGGCTGATCTTCCTCACAAAAGAAAAAAAAAATAAAGTAGTTCCTACATTGTTTGGAAGATAATTAGCAACATTTCTTGATTAATAAATGTATTCTATGCCTTTTGCCCTAGTGCTAACCTTAGAAAAAAAAGTCTAAAGAGAGGACTTAGGTTGTGTAGCAAGTATGTTTATTTTATGAGCAGACACCACACCTGAGATTGTGTTGGGTCCTCAGGGAAACCACTTCCAGGAATGGCGCCTGGGAGATCTGGAATATTGTGGTCCTCAACCCTTTCCATTTTAGAGAAGTGGTCCTGAAACTTTTCATTATGTTTAATGAGTTATAATCAGAAAAGAATTTGTAAATCTGTAAACGGTCTTGATAGGGTGTGGAGCTATTGTTAAAACCATTATAATAGATACCGTTAAAATTCACTGATTTTGGTGCTTTGTAGTGGGAAAAAAATTAAAATCCAAATGGTGCTTTTTAAAACTTATATTTTGAATTCCTCTGAGCACCGTTATGGATTATTTTAGTGCTGTGTTTTTCAGAATTATTGTTGTGGAAGGTCAGGACAGATAAAGGCTGGGTCCGGGTAAAACAGGACCTTCAGGAATCCCAGGTTTGGGCTTGGTTTCCTGAGGCTAGGTTATTTTTGTTTTGGTATATACCTTTTCTCTAAGGCCGTCTTGTAATCATATTATAATCAAACCAATCTTCGGGCTTATGTATAGAACACCATTTTCTCTACATTCACTGTGTCCTTAGACGCAGAGCTTAGGCAGGGGTTTAACTGCTGTGTGGGTTTGTCCCTCATGGATTGCTCTTCTGATGGAGTGCTGTGGTGGGTATTTCATGAGAGAGGTCCTGATCAGCGTTCATTTGCTTCCATCTTTGCTGCTATTTGGAAGAGTGGAGTTAATAGGGAGAGGGTTGTGATAAAGAGTGGGCATCTGGTGGTGTATAGGTTCAGAGGGCTCCTTAGTCACCCCAGCCTTGTTGAAAAGTAGGTTTATAATGTACTCATCCTGTAATTTGTAGTCTGAGTTTTGGCAAAGATGTACCCCTGGAACCACCACCCAAAGCAAGATGTGGAAGGTTTTCTCCCTCCCGTGTTTCCCCTCCTGGTCAGTCTCCACTGCTCTTCTGACCCAGGGCTACCCCTATTTTCATTTGAATCATCATAGATCAGTTCAGCTTGTTCTGGAATGTGTTATTCATGGAATCATACAGTATGTACTCTTTTGTGTCTGGCTTCTTTCCCTTAACATGTTTTTGAGATTCACCTATATTATTGCTTGTATCAGTACTTCTTTTTTTCTTTTTAACTAAAATAGTTTGTTCCTTTTTATCGCTCAGTGGTGTTCTATTGTGGACTGTTCTACAGTGATTAGAGTTGTTTATCCATTCTCCTACTGATAAAGCCTATTTGCTTTTGATATTATGATACTTAAAAAAATAAAAACTCGAAAGTTCTTTTCCTTTTTTAAAAAGAAAAACTTGAAGTTTTTTTTTCTTTTTTTTTAAACAGAGGAAAAGCGCCCTTTTGACTTCGATTTTTTTGCTCATTTGCTTCAGAAAGTTCTTGCTGAAGAAGAGAAAAGAAAACAAAAATCCGTTAAAAATCAGAGTTTAAAGGAGAAGAAATCCTCTAAACCACGAAAAAATGTAAAAGGTATTTATTTTAGAAGAAAGTGTGTTATTTTACTTGTGTGTTACTATTGCAAGTAATACACTTGCAATTTTGTCCCTCAAGTCTTTGTGTAGGTCAGGTAGTTGAGATCATCAGTCATGCAGTGGGAGGGAGGTGATTTTTCTTCAGTTTTCCGGTTATCTGACCCAAAACAGCAGCTCCCTTTAAAATTTTACAATTGGCACGATTGGGTTGTTTGACATCTTTCTTGTATCTAGAGCATAGTTGTAGCTGATAAAAGAGCGTCAGAATTTTGGATTGTCATGTTTGGTTACTTATTATCATTTTCCTCTGTAAAACAAATCTTGGACAAATTTCTAATACTTAAGAAATATGTGGGCCGGCCCCGTGGCTTGGTGGTTAAGTGAGCGCGCTCCACTGCTGGCGACCCGAGTTCGGATCCCGGGCTCCCACTGGCGCGCTGCTTCTCCGGCCATGCTGAGGCCGCGTCCCACATACAGCAACTAGAAGGATGTGCAGCTATGACACACAACTATCTACTGGGGCTTTGGGGGGAAAAAATAAATAAATAAAATCTTAAAAAAAAAAAAAAAAAAAAAAAAAAGAAATATGGAAGTCTGATACTTTGGGCTTGTGACTAAATTGTGTTGTTTGAGCATAGCTTATTTCTGAGGGTTAATGTCAACTTGTACCAGGTAGAAATGGTTTAGGTGTTTCTATTTTTAGGCTTATATTTTCTTAACTGTTTGAACTGGGATCTATGAGGACATTGTTTAGCTACAGTTGCATAATGTAAAGAATCTTGGAACTACAGGGAACTGTATGTGTCAGCCAGTCCACATCCCAGCCCCTTTCCGTTTGTTTTCATCACCCAGAAATAGCCCTGCAGATCCTAAGTCACTTTTTCCTAAGGTCTCACAGTGTTAGCAGTGGCAGAGGCAAGACTCAAACCCAGACTGTGAGAGCCTTTGTTGGGGGTTCCCCAAGACCAACCCCAGGTTCGGTGATTTGCCAGGAGGACTCATAGGATTCAGCATATCGTTGTGCTAACAGCTGAGATTTATTACAGTGAGAGAATACAGAACAAAATCAGCAGAGGGAAAATGCACACGAGTCAAAGTTGAGGGGAAGCCACGTGCAGGCTTCCAGAGTCCTCTCCCTGTGGAGTCATGCAGCATGTGCTTGATTCCCCCTCACCTAGTTGTGACGAGATGTGTAAAAAGTTGTTTACCAGGGAAATTTGTTAGAAACCCAGCACCCAGAGTTTTTACTGGAGGCTGGTCATGTAGACACCCTCTAGCTGGCATGTACCAGAATTTGAGACTCCCAGAAGGAAGGCAGTTGTTCAGCATAAACCACATTGTTTGTACAAACAAGTTAGGCACAGTGAGCCACTTCTGTCAGTTAGGCTGGTGGGAACTCTCCCCACCCCGAGTTTCAGGCACAGACCAGTGCAAACCTTGTAGGCAGGCCTTCAGAGGACGGCAGTCAGGCCTGCTGTGGTAACTCCCTTCTACACAGAGCCAGTGTAAAATGCCTTTTCTGGAGTGTGGTGCCTATATCTTTTTGAAAGTAGTGTCAATAACTGCAAAGTTATTTCATTCTGACTGTATGTAGCCCTAGAAGACTAAAAAATACATATATATATATTTTTTTTTTTGTGAGGAAGATCAGCTCGGAACTAACATCCATGCCAGTCCTCCTCTTTTTTTTATGCTGAGGAAGCGTGTCCCTGGGATAACATCTGTCCCCATCTTACTCCACTTCTATATGGGACGCCGCCACAGCATGGCCTGACAAGCGGTGCATCGGTGCGCGCCCAGGATCCGAACCTGGGCTGCCAGCAGTGGAGCACTTAACTGCTACGCCACAGGGCTGGCCCCTAAAATAGATGTATTAATCTTATGATTATCGTGTTACAAGCGATAGCACAGGTGACTCACCGTATCTTATTTAGTGTGAGAACTTTTCAGATATATTATTGCAAGTCTCAGAATTTAAAAATTGCTGATTATTGTTTTGATAGAGAATAAATCAAGTGTTATTTTCTCAGTTTTAAAATCTTGTTTTGACTTTTTTTAACAAAAGTAAATAACATTGAATTTTATTATTTTTTTAAGGTTAGATGTTTTTAGGGATGATGTCTGATCAACTATTGTTGTGAAGTTAAGTTTGCTTTTGGTTTGGCTGCAGTTTCCGTGATGATCTCTATATTTTGGTTTTTTAAATTTAATTTGTTTTTATCTTTTGATATAGTTGACTATTGATATGTCTTCATAGAAAGGGCAATCAACAAAAGATTGTTGATTGAAAAACAAATGATACAGAAAATAAAATTCTTGAACTCTCTCTCCTACCCTGCCCTCAAATCAAATTCTTCAGATTTCCTAGGGATAACTATTACTAAACTCTTTTCTATGCCTATATATGTGTGTGTATTTTAGAGTATATGTAATTGTTTTTGTTTAATAAAAATGAGTTCATACTATATATATTGTTGTGCAACTTGACCTTTATTATGCAACAATACATATATTTTTTTTTTTTGGTGAGGAAGACTAGCCCTGAGCTAACATCTGTTGCCAATCCTCCTGTTTTTGCTGAGGAAGATTGGCCCTTGGCTAACATCCGCACCCATCTTCCACCACTTTATATGTGGGACACCTGCCACAGCATGGCTTGATAAGTGGTGCATAGTTCTGTGCCTGGGATCCGAATCCTCAAACTCCGGGCCACCAAATTGGAGCATGCGAACGTAACCACTGTGCCACCGGGCCAGCCCCTGCAACAATATTTTTTGAAATCTTTTACGTTACTACATATAACCCTACCTCATTATTATTTGCTGCATAGATTTTTATAACATAAATGTATTATAACTCATTTAGTTGTTCTTTATCAGACATGTTAGATTGCCATCAATTTTTTTTTTTTTTCCTGAGGAAGATTCACCCTGAGCTAACATCTGTCGCCAGTCCTCCTCTTTTTGCTTGAGGGAGATTCGCCCTGAGCTAACATCTGTTGCCAGTCTTCCTCTATTTTTTGTATGTGGGTCACTGCCACAGCATGGCCATCGGCGAGTGGTGTAGGTCCCCACCCAGGAACCGAACCCAGACCGCCGAAGCGGAGTGTGCTGAACTTAACCACTAGGCCACCGGGCTGGCCCCAGGTTGTCTTCATATTTTTGTTTATAAAAATACTACTACTCAATACTACTTTGAGTATTTATTTTCTCTACCTTTAAGAATTTCTCTGTAGGTTGTTCATATATTGATAACCATTTCTCTTATTTTCAGCAAAAAAAGTTGCCAGTGAAGGAGTGAATGATGATCCAGATGAGTCTGTGAGCACTAGAATTCCAGATACAGAAGGATCTCAAAAGGATGCTCAGACAGTTGAAGAAGAACAACAGCCTCTGACTTTGTCAGAACAGGATTCAGAGCAGATTGCATTAGAACCAAACTTAAATCAAAAGAAAAGGAGAAGGAAGAATCAGGATGAAGTTGGTAAACAGGAAGTAAAAAATCTTTCAGGAAATGCCACTGTTCAACCAGGTCCTTCTAAAGGAGAAAAGCACAAAAGTAAGTTTCTTATGTGTTTTAATAGCCCCGTATTACTTGAGAAGATATGTACAGTAGTATGGTATATAACTTAAATGTCTTTGTTCTGGATAGTAGCAATTAATAATGTTCATTAATTGGTTCTGTATTCATGTGTTAAACCCTTTTATTTTTTTTTATTTTTTTTTAAACCCTTTTATTTTTAATTTAAAGAAAAAAAAGTTTATTGTAAAAAAAAAAAATGAAACGGAGATGTTTTTCTCTCTTGTTTTCTCTAAGATGCATTACCTCCTACGTACCCCCATTAACAGTGATTAGAAGTCACAGGTATATAGTTTGATGTCTGTTGCTTGTGTGTGTTAATAAATCAGAGGTTTTCATGTTCTGTCTCTTCAGAGCACCTCTGTGAACCACAATAAGTTGTTATTTCTATAAAAGAGTTACTGAAATAAGTGTTCCTCCCATTTTTTTAAACTCCCTTAAAATGCAGACGTATTGACACTTATGAGTTACTAGGGGACAGGGGCTAAGAGTTTAGGGAAGCCTTGGTCTCTTAAGAGTTCATCTTTACATTACTAAAAGCAGATGGTCAAATAAAGAGAGGAGAAAAAGATAGTAGTGAACCAGAACAGCCTTTCTTTAGACTTTACATTATATGTAGTTGAGCTTCACCAATATAATTTTTTTTTCCGTCAGTATAATTCTAATAAATGAATCCTGGTAGCTGGCATAGTATGATTTATAGACATCACAATATTACGCTCTTTTGCGGCTTACTATTAAAGACATTACATATAAAACAGAATAGCTCAATGATTAAGAAATTGGGCTTTGGAAATCAAACAGACCTGGGTTTAGATTTTAACTCTTATTTGCTAAATATGACCTTGGGCAAATCACTTAAGATCTTTAAACTCAGGTTCTTTTTCTCTGTGCTGAGGTTAATATTAATACCTTTTATAGGATTGTCGTGAATATTAAATGAGATATTCATCTGATGGGCTTAGAGTTTCTGTCACTTAGTAAGTACTCAGTAAATTATAGCTGTTACTTGTTACTAATGTTTAAGCAGAAGTATAGCCAAGTACACGTCTACTTGTTACTAATGTTTAAGCAGAAGTATAGCCAAGTACACGTCTAGTTTCCTGACTAGATATAGAAAACAAGTCAGTTTAACCACTTAAAATGTAAACAAGATGAGAGGAAGATGCTGCAAACTGCCCAGAAAATTTTGGGCTGATCCTCAAAACACAGTTGTAAGTTGATTGGGTTTTCATTAATGCTTATTAATGCCTTGCATATAGGAACTTGAATGTTGCATGGATTAATAATTTATAGGAAAAGACAGTGTTTTATATGTGAATTCCTTTATGCTTTAAAAAATAGATGTTTTTGCTATAATTTTTTGGATTAACATGCATCCTGTATTCATAGATAAACGTCAGTCTTCAAGGCCTGAGATAAACGAAGATGAAGGCAATACGGAACAGAAGCTACCCTGCGCACAGAACGTAGATGAGGTTGTGGGTTTATCCTCCGGTGAAAAGGATGAGGAGGAAACTGAGCCTGTCCTTTCCTCGAGGTATTTTCTGTCTCTTTCCTGACTTTGTCTACGTCTTCTGTCGATTACTGAGAGAGGAGTGTGAAGTCCCCAACTGTAATTGTGAGTTGGCCCATTTCTCTTTTCAATTCTGTGAGGTTTTCTTCATCTGTTTTGAAGCTCTCGTTAGGTGCACATGTACCTAGCTTTGTGGCATCTTCTTGGTGAATCACGCTTTATCGTTTGCGTGGGATCGTTCTGGTGTCACCCTTTGTTCTGATGCTGGCTCTGCCACTGCAGCTCGCTGTGGTTGGTGTTCGCATGGGTTTATCATTTTCCGTAAAAATATTCTCTTTATCTTTGGTTTTCAGCAGTTTGAATTTGATGTATCCTGCTGTCTGAGTTTTTTGTTGTCATTGTTTAAATTGTGGTTAAAAAACACGTAACATGAAACCCACTCTCCTAACAGATTTTGTAAGTGTATAGTACCGTGTTATTAACTGTAAGCACAGTGTTGAACAGCACATCTCTAGAACTTCGTATTGCATGACTGAAACTCAATATCCATTGATCTTCGGCTCCTTATTCCTCCTTCCCCTCAGCCCCTGGCAGCCACCGTTCTACTTGGTGTTGCTGTGAGCTCGATTACTTTACACCCTCATGTAGGTGGAGTCCTGCAATATTTGTCCCTCTGTGATTGGCTTATTTCACCTAGCATAATGTTTTCAGTGTTACAACATCCATGTTGTAGCATATGACAGGATTTCCTTCTTTTTTTAATTAATTTTTATTGAGGTAACATTGGTTTATAACACTATATAAATTTCAGGTGTACATCATTATATTTGGATTTCTGTGTAGATGACATATCATGTTCACCACCCAAAGTCTAATTGCCATCTGTCTCCATACACATGTGCCCTATTACCACTTTTGCCCTTCTCCCTCCCACCTTCTGCCTCTGGTAAATATTCTCTATGTCTGTGTGTTTGTTTGGTGGTGTGTTTTTTTTTTTTTATCTTCCACATACGAGTGAAATCATGTGGTATTTGGCTTGCTCTGTCTGACTTAGTTCGCTTAACATAATGCCTGCAAGGTCCATCCGTGTTGTTGTATATGACAGGCTTTCCTTCCTTTTTTATGGTTGAGTGATATTCCCTTATATGTATATATCAGATTTTTTTATTCATTCATCTATCAGTGGACATTTAGGTTGTTTCCATCTCTTGGCTATTGTGAATAATGCTGCAATAAACATGGGATTGCAGGTATCTCTTTGAGATACTGTTTTCAGTTCTTCTGGATAAATACCCAGAAGAGGGATTGCCAGATCCTATGATAGTTCTATTTTTAATTTTTTGAGGCAGCTTCATACTGTTTTCCATAGTGGCTGTACCATTTTACATTCCCACCAGTAGGGCACAGGATTCCAGTTTCTCCACGTCCTTGCCAACGATTGTTATTGTCTGTTTTTTGTTTTTTTTATAATGGCTGTCCTAATGGATGTGAGATGATACCTCATGGTTTTGATTTGCATTTCCCTAATGATGTCAAGCATCTTTACATATACCTGTTGGCCATTTGTATGTCTTCTTTGGAGAAGTGTTTGTTCATGTCCTTTTCCTGTTTTGTTTTTTTTTAATATGATTTTATTTATTTATTTATTTTCCCCCCAAAGCCCCAGTAGATAGTTGTATGTCATAGCTGCACGTCCTTCTAGCCGCTGCACGTGGGACACGGCCCCAGCATGGCCGGGGAAGCGGTGCGTCAGTGAGCGCCAGGGATCCGAACCTGGGCCGCCAGCAGCGGAGCGCACACACGCAACCACCAAACCACGGGGCCAGCCCCCTTTTCCCGTTTTTTAATTGAGTTTTTTTTTTTCTATTGAGCTGTAGGAGTTCCTTTTATATTTTAGATATTAAGCCCTTACCAGATATATGGTTTGCAAATATTTTCTCCCATTCTGTAGGTTGCCTTTTGACTCTGTTGATGCTTTCCTTTGCTGTGTAGAAGCATTTCAGTTTGATGTAGTCCCACTTGTCTGTTTTTGCTTTTGTTTCTCGTGCTTTTTGGAGTCATAGCCAAGAAATCGTTGCCAATACCACTATTATGAAGCTTTCCTCCTATGTTTTCCTCTAGGAGTTTTACAGTTTAAGATGTTACCTTTAAGTCTTTAATCCATTTTGAGTTTATTTTTGTGTCTGGTGTAAGATAAAGGTCTAGTTTCATTGTTTTGCATGTGGGGGTCCAGCTTTCCCGGCACCAGTTGTTGAAGAGACTGTCCTTTCCCTATTGTGTAGTTTTGGCTCCCTGTCAAGGATCATTTGATCATATATGTGTGGGTTTATTTCTGAACTGTGTGTTCTGTTCCATTCGTCTATATGTCTGTCTTCTGAAAAATTTGATGAGAGCTCTTTATTCTCATGTAGAAAAATATACATATGTATATGTGCCAATTTATTCATACAATTCAGAAGGTTAATAATTTCTTTGAAGCTGAGCCCTGGACTTGTGATTCTTAACTTGCTAGGTGACAGACATGTAAATTGTGACTTCAGAGATACGACTTATTTCATAAACTATACACAAAACAATACTGATGACAGGGAGAAAACAACCCTGTAATGACTGTTAAAATTCCAACTAACTAGTTTTGTAAAACAGCAAGCTGATTCTAAAATTGTTATATACACAAGGACAAAGGGTCATGAATGGTAAAAGACAATTTGGAAAAACGACTCTGGAGAGGAAATGTGTTCAGACTTACTGCAAAGCTAGAGTAGTTAAAGCAGTGTGGTACTGGTGCAGGAATAGACAGGTGGACTCAGCGCAACTGAATGTTGAGTCTGGGAAGAGGGATTTAGGATCTGATACATGGCAGAGGTAGCATTAGAAATTAGTGGGCAAAGATTGAACTAATGATTCATTAGAAGTTGCTGACATATGAAAAATACAATATTAGACTCCTATGTCACCCTGCATGCTAACATCTTGATAGATTAAAGCAAATCTTTAAAACTTTCAGAAGAAAATGTAGGAAAATATCTTTGTGACATCGAGGATTTCTTAAGGCATAAAAAGCACAAACTTTAAAAGATAAAATTAGGGGCCAGCCCTGTGGCATAGCGGTTTAGTGTGCGCTCCCTGCTGCTGGTGGCCTGGATTCGGATCCCAGGAGCACACGGATGCAACACTTGTCAGGCCATGCTGTGGCGGCGTTCCCATATAAAGTGGAGGAAGATGAGCACGGATGTTAACCCAGGGCCAGTCTTCCTCAGCAAAAAAAGAGGAGGATTGGCATGAATGTTAGCTCAGGGCTGATCTTCCTCATACACACACAGAAAAGATAAAATTAATAAATTTGCAGTAAAATTAAATACTTCTGTTGACAAAAGTCTCCATAAAGAAAGTGAAAGGCAAGCTACTGATTGGGAGGATATATATATATTTTTTTTTGGTGAGGAAGATTGGCCCTGAGCTAACAACTGTGCCAATCTTCCTCTATTTTATATGTGGGATGCCACCACAGCGAGGCTTGATGAGTGGTGTGTATGTCCACGCCTGGGATCCAAACCCACAAACCCTAGACGGCCAAAGCAGAGTGTGCAAACTCAACCACTATGCCACCAGGCCTAATCTCCCTGATTAGGAGATTTTATGTGTAACATCTAACCAAAAAAGAATACGTAAAGAGCTCTTACTGATCAGTTGGGGAAAGATAAGCACCCAGTAGAAAAAATGAGCAAAAAAAAAGTATAGCTAAATGTGAATATGTGTTGAAAGTGGGTGCTAGTTAGTTCATAGCCATCATTTGTATTATTTTTAGTTGAAACGCTTCATAATACAGCAGTCCTCTCTGCATAGTACAGTGTTAATGGCAGCTTGTGCACAGTGGAACTGTGTTCTTGATTTACACGGCTTTTGGTTAACACAGTACCATTCAAAGCAAGGACTGCCTGTGTAAAATTTTAATGAAAGATAATTCCTAAATATTGGTATGATTTCACACATACATTTGATTTGTGAACCCCATATAATTAAGAGTTTTTAATTTTGTGACTTCTTGAACACTTTCCCAAGCTTGTAATCTGTGGCTGCTACTTTCTCTGAAGGAACAATTTTTAGTAACATGGTGCAAGAAGGATCATAGAAAAGCCAAAATATCCATTTCAATTATTCCATAGTATGAAGGATCATCTTCCAAAGTATTGGTTTTGTATATTTTTTAAAACCTTTTTCTTTTTTTGGTGAGGAAGATAAGCCCTGTGCTAACATCTGTTGCCAGTCTTCCTCTTTTTTGCTTGAGGAAGATTGTCCCTGAGCTAACATCTGTGCCAGTCTTCCTCTATTTTGTATATGGAACACCGCCACAGCATGGCTTGATGAGTGGTGTGTAGGTCTGCACCCAGGATCCAAACCCGTGAACCCTGGGCTGCCAAAGCGGAGCACGGAACTTAACCACTACGCCACCAGGCTAGCCCCTAAAAATCTTTTAAATAACTAGTATAAAATATGTATTACTAGGAATTCTTTTCCCCCTGATATGTTTTCATTTCCTCCGTAGTCAACAAGATGCCATGTCAGTAGCAACTGAGACTTCAGGATCAAGCACTTTAGGTTTGCCTTTATCAGAGGTGGGAATCAGAGCACTGTGTGAGGTGCATAATGCTGAGAGCAGTTGTACAGAAGGGAGAACTGATGACCTAAAAAATAAATCACTGTAAGTATTTTACGTGGTAGGATTTTTAAATTTATTTTAAAAATTTCAATAATTTCTTATCATTTTAGAAGTGGTAATGATGCTGCTTCCTTTAAGGATTAGGAGGGCCCTGTAGACCATTTAGTATGTTATTGTTCTGTGGTCTGAGTGTGACGGCAAGGTTTTTCACGTTATATTTTGTTACAGAAAGATTGTCTTTCATATCTGATGTATTACCGGCGACATGAGTTTTAGCAAAGTGGTAACTTATGAAATTCTAAAATAATTTAGAAGCCTAAATATTTGCTATGAGATTTTAGTTTTACTTGGTTTGAGTTATTTTTCATGCCTGTTGTCAAAGTGGTAGATTTTTATATTGATGACTTTAAAGATATTACATTTTCTAGTATGCAGATACTGGTTAAATTAATATCTTCACTAAAAACAGAATAAAAGCACCATAGAATCTCCCTTTGAAGAGATATCTCAAAAATTCAGATTTCCTTGTCTCGCTCATAACTCCTCATATGGGCTTAAAAGCTGTTCAGTTTACAAATTTTTTTTTATTTTCAGTGAAGTATAGTCACATCAAGAATCAAACATTTTTTTAAATAAAAATTTAAATGCGTCTTTGGATTAGGCAATATATTCTTAGGGTTCAGGCATCCAAAAGTACAAGGAGGTGCAGAGTAAAGTAACCCTCCTACCGTGTCCCTGTTCACGCTAACAAGTAACTAGTGTTATTCGTTTCTTAGATTCTTTCAGAGACTTAAAAACTACATTAAAGCTAATAGAAATATATATTCTTTGTTTTTTAACTCTTTTTAAAAACCTAACGGTAGCACACTGTACATACCATTTTGCAATTTTTTGGTCTTACATCTTCATATCTTTCCGTAAAGACCTTCCATATTCTTTTCATAGCTGCATAGTGTTCTCTTGTATGGATAAATCAGTTTATGTTATCAGTGCCCTATTGATGGCTATATAGGTTGTTTTTACAAACAACGCTTATAATCTTGTATCTCCATGTTTTCATCTATGTGCAAGAATATGTGTAGGGTAAGTTCCTAACAATGGAATTTCTTGCTCAAAGGATATATATCTGTGTGTGTACATTTATACATTTATGATTTTGATAGATACTGCCAGAGTGCTCTCCATAGGAGTTATGCTAGTTTATATTATTCCACCCAGGACATGAGAAAGAACTGGTCTCCCTCCCCAACAAACGATGTCATTAACTCAGAGTTTTGCCAGTCTTGATAGGTTATAAAATAATAGCTCAGTATAGTTTCTCCACCCCACTGCTCCTTTTCTGGCAGGGATATGTAATATTTTAATTTTTTTACTTCCATTTCTTATTTTAAAGTTTTCTAACCTAAAGAAAAGTCAAAAAAATAGAACAATGGACATCTGTATATACTTCCCTTTAGATTCTCTGGATTCTTTTTTTTTTTTTGTAAGGAAGAGCAGCCCTGAGCTAACGTCCACGCCAATCATCCCCCTTTTTTTTTGCTGAGGAAGACTGGCCCTGGGCTAACATCTGTGCCCATCTTCCTCCAGTTTATATGGGACACCGCCACAGCATGGCTTGACAAGTGGTGCATCAGTGGGCGCCCGGGATCTGAACGCCGGGCCACCAGCAGCAGAGCGCGCGCACTTAACCGCTACGTCACAGGGCCGGCCCCTCTCTGGATTCTTTTTTTTTTGTGAGGAAGATCAGCCCTGAGCTAACATCTGTGCTAATCCTCCTCTTTTTGCTGAGGAAGACCAGCTCTGAGCTAACATCTATTGCCAATCCTCCTCCTTTTTTTTTTTTCCCTCAAAGCCCCAGTAGATAGTTGTATGTCATAGTTGCACATCCTTCTAGTTGCTGTATGTGGGACGCGGCCTCAGCATGGCCGGAGAAGCGGTGCGTCAGTGTGCGCCCAGGATCTGAACCTGGGCTGCCAGTAGCAGAGCGCGTGCACTTAACCGCTAAGCCACGGGGCCGGCCCTCTCTGGATTCTTAATGTCTTGTCACAATTGCTCTCACTCACACTCTCTGTCTACGTTTACTTTGTACTTTTCTTATTGAGAGTGAAGATGAGTATCTCTTCACATTTAAAACCTATTTTTATTTTGTTTATTGTGAGTTCTCCATATCCTTTGTCTGGTTTTTAAATGACTTGTTGATGGTATTGTTTTGTAGGAGCTCTGTGTATTTTAGGGAGGTTAGCCTTGTGATATGAGTTGTAAAACATGCTTTCTTGGTTTGTAGTTTGACTTCTGACTTAACCATGTTTTGGCCAAGTAAAAGTTTTTGATTATGTTGTCAAATTTCTCAATTTTTTTTCTTTTATGGCTTATGAACTTTTAATCCAATTTTAGAAAGGCTTACCCCACCTCAGGGTTATAGAAGAATCCATCTGTGTTTTCTCTGTGGTTTCATTAAATCTTTCGTCCAGTTGGAATATACTGTGAGGACCGTGCAAAGAGTGGAGCTAATTTTGTTTTATTCCCCAATTTTCCAGTGTTCCTATCAACATCTATTTAGTTCAATATTTATTTTTAAAAATAGATTATTTTGTATTTCGTCTTATCCTCACTGTTTTGAAATGCTGCCTTTATTATATGCTAAAATCATGTGTCTTTTGGCGTCATCCTCTCCATTTTCTTTTGCTGCATTTGTGTGTTAATTCACATCAGCACCGCAGTGTTTTAGGGTTCATGCTGACTAGCACATTTTTAACATGGGATAGAACAAGTTCGTTAGCCACTCACTGCTCTTCTTTTTCAGTTTTCTTTGCTACTCTTCCTGTAAGTAGGCTTAAAGGAGTATTTTCTGGCTCTGAGTGGATTTTTTTTTTTTTTTTTTTTTGGTGAGGAAGATCAGCCCTGAGCTCACATCTATTGCCTATCCTCCTCCTTTTTTTTCCCTTTTTCTCCCCAAAGCCCCAGTAGATAGTTGTATGTCGTAGCTGCACATCCTGCTACTTGCCGTATGTGGGACGCAGCCTCATCATGGCCGGAGAAGCGGTGCGTTGGTGCGCGCCCGGGATCCGAACCCGGGCCGCCAGCAGCGGAGTGCAGGCACTCAACCGCTAAGCCACGGGGCCGGCCCCTCTGAGTGGATTTTTAAAGAATTTTCCAGAATTTCGTGTGAATATGCTTCATGTTGGTGCAGTTTACATAATGTTAATTTTTTAGGGAAACTGATCAAAGAGAAAATATTAAACCAGTGGGAAGAGGACGACTCCAGAGACCTAAACCCAATTTATCAAGAGCAGTTGGGAAGAAATCAGTTGTTTCACGAGGTAAAACAGATGCAGAGAGCGAGAGTTTACAGCCAGAAACTCCAGTTGAAAAGGTATGGAGCAGGAGACTTTATGTAAGTTAAAATTATGAAGGTTTTTCCTAAATAGTTGGAAATAAAAATGTTTAGCTTGTAATTGCAGAGTAATGTTAGTGATACTAAAAGACACAAGAGTTTACAAAGTAATATTAAATTTGTTTTACTAGTCTCCTGTTTATGCGTTTTCTTTAGAACTGAGGAGATATCATTTTAGACATCGTAAGTAGAGACAAATCTGTCTTTTCTTTACATAAATAAATAAATAAATTACTTAAAGTTTTTATTCAAAATATTTTTAAACCAGCTATACATAAAATTAACCCACAACCCTTTCATCTAAATGCAGACACTCACATTCCTCTATTTCTCCTTTATAAACTTCTCTCTTTTTATGTATGTAAACATTTCTATAGATTTTAATCGTAACATATATAATACTTAAAACTTTTCTCTGAAACTATTCATTTACACTTTCTTGGGGTTAATTGATCTTTTTAGTAGTTGCATCAGGTTAACATATTATTAATTTACCTAACCATTTCTCTAATGGTGGACATTTAGGTTCTTCCCACTTTTTTTTTAACTCTTGTACATAAAAGCAAACAATTTTGTAAATAGAGCTTTCTTAAGGAAATAGGCAAAGAATAAATTTCCAGAGGTGGTGGGATTAATGAATCAAAGTATTTTAAATATATTTATGGTTCTTGTTCTGCATTGGCCAACCAACAGTCAAAAAAAATGAATCTATTGGGGACGGCCCGGTGGCGCAGCAGTTAAGTGTGCGCTCTCTGCTTTGGCGGCCCGGGAATTGCAGGTTTGGATCCCGGGCGTGCACCGATGCACCACTTGTCAAGCCATGCTGTGGCAGCGTCCCATATAAAGCAGAGGAGGATGGGCACAGATGTTAGCCCAGTCTCGATCTTCCTCTGCAAAAAAAAAAAAAAGAGAATCTGTTTACATTGCTACAAGCATTTAAATGAATGTTCCCTGTTTCCTTATATCCTGCCAGCATTATATTGTTATAAATTTTTTATTTTTGCTAAAATACTTTTAAAAATGTTAGTCTACCTTTTTTTCTCTAATGTGAAGTATCTTATCACACTTTTCTTTCTTTCTTTCTTTTTTTTTTTGGTGAGGAAGATTGGCCCTGAGCTAACATCTGTTGCCACTCTTCCTCTTTTTGCTGAGGAAGATTGGCTCTGAGCTAACATCTGTGCCCATCTTCCTCTATTTTGTATGTGGGATGCCGCCGCAGCATGGCTTGATGAGTGGTGGTCAGTCTGCGCCCAGGATTTGAACCTGTGAACCCTGGGGCGCCAAAGTGGACCCTACAAACTTAACCACTATGCCACCAGGCTGGCCCCATCACACTTTTTATAATATAGTTATATTATAATTTTGTAAGATGTTTTTAAATTCTAGAAAATTGGGAAAATATAGATTCATGTAAGAATTGAAACAAAAAGTACTTGTAATTTCATTATCCAGATACAGTCAACCTTTTAGTGTATATCCTTCCAGCTTTTCTTTTACAAAATTGAGTAGTAGTATTAATTCAGTTTTTATATCTTTCTTTGGTACTTAACATTTCATAAATATTTTTCCATATCATTAAACCTCTTTTGAAGACATGGTTTTTGCTGACTTCATAATATTCTGTCAATGGGTATAACTGAATGTGTTTAATCATTTACTCATTATTGGATATTTTGTCTGTTTACCATGTTCGCTATTTTGCATAATGTTCCAGTATACATCTTTGTACTTAAATCTTTGTCTAAATATTTTCTTAGAATAGAGTCTTCGAATGGTATTACAGGGCCAAAGAGTATGAACGTTTTTAAGGCTCTTGATTCATATTGGCAAAAGGCTTTCCAGAAAGGATATACCAATTTATGCTTCTATCAGTAATATATGAGATTATATGTTTTATAATATTCTCATCTGCATTTGTAATGTTAAAAACTCCCTTATAATTAGAAATACAAAAAAATAAATTTCATTGTTTTAATTTCCATTTATTTTTACAAAGTTTGAACATTTTTATGTTAAGTAGATTAAATGTAAGAAATTGAATTTATAGAATCATGTGGAAAAGGATAAAAAGAACACATTTGATGTTTCTGGAACGGAGAGTGCAGAGAGAGAGAACCCAGAAGCTGAGACTGTATCTAAGTAAGTATTTAAGAAGTAGAATAAAAATAGTAACTCTTACAAATGATTGTAATAACGTGTTTTCTACTTGATAATGTCTGAATTTTATTTTCAGCTAGTATACTTAAGTCCATTTTTTTTTTGGTGAGGAAATTGGCTCTGAGGTAACATCCATTGCCAATCCTTCTCTTTTTGCTGAGGCAGATTGTCGCTGAGCTAACATCTGTGCCCGTCTTCTTCCATTTTGTATATGGGACGCTGCCACAGCATGGCTTGATGAACGATGAGTAGGTCTGCGCCCAGGATCCGAGCCTAGAAACCCCGGGCCACCGAAGTGGAGTGCACAAACTTAACCACTACGCCACTGGGGTGGCCCCTTAAGTCCGTTTTTGACTATAGGTGTTGTTGAAACATTTTAATAATGCTCTTTATGCTTAATATTTTAGAAATAAATTATAGTATGGATCCACTGAGTTAGCAGTTACATTTTTCCCTCAACTTATTAACAAGATTTTAACAAAGTCTAGTTAGGTAAATTAATGGTTAAGATACATGTTTCTGGATAATTTTGCTTACAGCAAGAGGTTTGCAAAGGGAATATTTAACTTGGAATGGAGATCTAGAATAGGCCTTGCTCCGATATGAATCTGAACCAGTGGGTTCTGGATGGTACATTTATGCTGGAATCAGTGTCCAGGGCCCTGGAGCTGTACGTGACGCAGTAGTGTCCTGAGTGGGGAATAGTGTTTGTTACATGCTTGTCAGGTATATATTTTTCTAATTTTGTGGTGAAAATTTGATTATAAAATGCTTTTTTATAGTCAGGCTTTCAGGATTATGTCTGTTCCAAAGAGTTAAGGTGTAGAAGTATGATAGCTTTGAGGATGTTCTTGAGGACACTTGTGAGTTATTTTATATTCCAAATGGTTTACTTATTCATAAGTAGGAGAAGGGAATAATGAAAACAAGCAAGTATGTGACTTCAGAATAACCATCGATTTTATTCCTTCGTAATTGTTCTAGTTCAAGTGAAAAAATTTGTCTGCAGGAAGATGATCAACCAAAGGCTTTCAGACCTTCACGGCTAATGAGGGGCCGATTGCAGAGGCCAAAGCCAAATGTCAGTAAAGCTGCTGAAAGAAAAGAAATTCTTACATCGCAGGAAAATATTGGGGCCAATGTAGAAAAGAATGAAAATGAATCCTGTGTTGACAGAGATGTAAGTACTGTGATTCCTTCCAGTTTCTTGTTAAACCAGTACATAAGCCTCCTTTCACCCCGTCTTTTTTTTTTTTTTTTTTTTTAATTTTTTTTTTTTCCCCCCAAAGCCCCAGTGGATAGTTGTATGTCGTAGCTGCACATCCTTCTAGTTGCTGTATGTGGGACTCGGCCTCAGGATGAACGGAGAAGTGGTGCCTCGATGCGCACCCGGGATCCGAACCCGGGCCACCAGCATCGCAGCGCGCGCACTTAACCACCAAGCCACAGGGCCGGCCCAGCACCCCCTGTCTTAAACAGCAACACTATATAATTGTGTACATTGTTTATTAAATTTAAGGCCAACATCTCATAGCTGGTGGCTTTGCTAATTATAAAGCCATTTAACTTTGGGCTCTCCAGACTTGGAGCATTTACTTGATGGATCATCTGCCTTCATCCGACCTCATGTTTGGACTTCCCTTCCGCATCACTCAGCAGCTGTTTAAGTTACACTTCCCTTTTGAAAACATAGCTAGATATGTAAATTTTAACACTGGCTTTAGCAGAATAAATGTTAAAAGCTCCCTACTAAGGGCCGGCCCCGTGGCTTAGCGGTTAAGTGCGCGTGCTCCGCTGCTGGCGGCTCGGGTTCGGATCCTGGGCGTGCACCAACGCACCGCTTTTCCAGCCATGCTGAGGCCACGTCCCACATACAGCAACTAGAAGGATGTGCATCTATGACATACAACTGTCTGCTGGGGCTTTGGGGGAAAAAATAAATAAATAAAAAAATTAAAAAAAAAAAGAAAAGCTCCCTACTAAAATACAATTCCCAAAACAAAGGTTATAAATTTTAGATTGTTTACATAATAACTAGTCTTTGCAATAAGGGTAAAAGTTGGCATAATTTGAGATTTGAATTTCTTTTGTTATAATTTCCAAGGTCTAGGTTGTGATACAATGATAAGAAGGATTCAGAAAGTAGACCCCAGTGGGTAAAAGACAAGCAGGTCCTTGCATTCTGGTTGGGAGGAAAAGAATGGGGGCTTTGAGATGAGGTAAAAGGTCTGGCTTCATGAAATTTTCTAAGATAGCTAAAGAAAAAACATTAAAAAGCATCTGTTAAATATCATTTTATAATTTTGAAATGTTTACCATTTTCCTTGAACTCAAATTGGACAAATTTTTAATGAAATCTTTTATAAATGGGTATTTCATTGTGAAACGTAAAACTTTTTAAAAAATGTGTTTGTTATTAAGACTCCTGGACAAACAGAAGATCAGTCATGTAAAAGTGTTGAGTGTGAGGACACCACATCACAGTCTGTGGAAAAAGATCCTCCTTTTCAGAATGTGCAGCCAGATGAGCCCAAGGCTCTTCATGAATGTGTGAGGTAAGCATCATCTTAGTGATTATATAATTTTTGAATTTTGTGGAAAGTTTTAGAAATTGGTTTTTTTAAAACAACAGCAAATCAGACTGACTTGTTACCTGTATATACATCAAGTTACATAATTACATTTGTGTACCAAATTTGGAGGGTACCAAACCAGAGCAATGGAATTATTAGTGTACTTAAAAATTTTTTTTTTCCTTTTGGGAATATTTATTGTTCACAAAAGCAGTGAGAACAGAATGGACTCCCATGCACCTACTATCTAGTTTCAGTAATTATTATTATTTTATCTAGTTTCAACAATTACTAATATTTTCCCAATCTCTACATTTAAAGTCTGGCGTATCCTGTGCTTTCTTACAGCTAGCTGTATTAGCTCGTTTAAATACCACCTAACCTGAGAGTGAAAGCTGGGTTTCCTGAACTATTTTAAAGGTCTTTATTAGAAGACAGAAAAATTTGTTTATTCCTTACTTCTTTACTCCTTTGCTTCTTTCTTCACCCTTCTCTCCTTTCTTCCCTCTCCTCCCTACGTACTCCTCTCCTCACCCCCAAACCCTTTCATTACTCTGCCACACAGTGTCTAGGTAGAAGCCTGCATAGCTATGTTCTTGTTACGTTATCTCTGATACAAGTACTAATCACAGATAACTACAATTGGGATTTTTTGTTCATATGTTTTTCACTTTAAGCTAGACGCCGTTAATAATTCACGTGGCTTGGTAGGAAATTGTTTTCCCTGAGTGGCCCTTGGGTTTTAGAACCCTGGTGGATGTTGTTTAGAACTGATACCAGTCAGATCTCAACAGCTTTCTCTGCAAAGGCAGTGTCCTTCTGTTTCATCATGTGGCCTTTCTGGCCTTTGGGTCTCCAGCATCCTTGAAAACAAGTCTGAGATGCTGTGTTTTCTCAAATCGCCACCCTCAAACACTTTGAAATGTTCAAGGTGCTGTGTACGAGAAAGAAAACAGAGAAAGAGGCTCTGAGATGAAGAATGCATTAATAATTCTACTTGATTCAATAAATTGGTGAATATGTTTTTTGAAACTCACTCTTCTAGGCTAATTTTGCATCCTGTCTCCTTCATAGAAATATTTTGAGGTTTGTCTCTCCTGATTGGTGAGTTATCTTATGGAGGTTTATAAATACTTTGAAGATTCTTAAACTCTGTATTTTAGAAAAACGCATCTGTGGACCATGGAGCAGATTTATAGTTTTGTGCCCATTCCTTCTCCTACTTTGTCCAGTTCTGGTCCTCTTTCTTTCTGTGCTTTTCTCCTTAAAATCTGTGATCTGAGGAGAGAGTTGTGGATCCACTCTATGTTTTAAGTTGAGAAAGCATCTAGTTCAGTTGCAGGTCTGATCTCCAGTCTCAGACCTGCCGTTAGTTCCTGGTGCAGCTCCTGGCGCTCTGTGAGAGGAGGGCTGTCTCGTTCACCGCATGTCCTCAGTGCCTAGCTCCTGCCTTCCTGGTGTATGATACGTACTTAGAGCTGTTCGTTGACTGGTTGTTCGTGAACTCCAAGTAGTGTGATGTTTGTTTATTATTTATCCATAAAAGTTAATCTTATCAAGTCCTTTTATTACTTAGAGACAATCTAAGCACATAGAATATAATCAGAATATTTCGTATTTGTCTCTGGAAATGTGAATGATATTCAAGTAATGAAATTGTTAACTCTTTGCTTAAAACCTTTATAGATTTTAAGAATATACTAGTGTTCAAAATGTGACTTTATAGTTTATCTTTTCTCATGATAACCAAACCAGGATTGCTATCACAGGAACCTCACTAAACGGTAGATACTTCCAGATGGAAATGAAAAGAATCATAAGGGGCCGGCCCCATGGCTTAGTGGTCAAGTGCGTGTGCTCTGCTACTGGCGACCCGGGTTCGGAGTCCGGGTGCGCACCAACGCACTGCTTCTCCAGCCATGCTGAGGCCGCGTCCCACGTACAGCAACTAGAAGGATGTGCAACTATGACTTACAACTATCTACTGGGGCTTTGGGGGAACAAAGGAGGAGGATTGGCAATAGATGTTAGCTCAGAGCCAGTCTTCTTCAGCAAAAAGAGGAGGCTTGGCATGGATGTTAGCTCAGGGCTGATCTTCCTCACAAAAAAAAAAAAAAAAAAAGAATCATAAGTCAGAAAATAGAATGAAATCCACCAAGAACTAACCAAATTCAATTTTCTTTATTGATCAATATTAGTTTTGCATTGAATCTTATCAATTACTAAAGTTATTGATAAGTATAAGACACCTCAGTTATATAAAAAAGTATAATTTGAAAAGCAGTCTTATTCCTAAGGACCTGCCTTGTGTTATCAAAAATTGCATTATGAAAAACAGTTGTTTCAATGAAGAAAGACAGCTTAGGACCTAGGAAGTTCAAACAAGCAATAGCATCGTTTTTAATCTTTTTTTTAAGTCGTCAAGTGTATGCACTAGTTCAGCCTAACATTACTGAGTAAGTCTAGTGTTTCATTTGATCTGGCTTCTGCCCAAGATTAATGACCTTTCTTAACCAGTCACTAAGAGCTCTTTCATTCATGTTTTTTTTTTGGTTTTACTGGCTATTTGTTATGATAAAGCACAAAGCAAAGAGTGCTGCTGCTTCCCTGGAGAGCAAGGTGCTTGTTCTAGGTAGTGATTGTTGTATGCCCAATAGCATTCAACAGACTGCAAAATAGTGTTATTTAGTTAATCTTTCTTTTTATTCCCAATTTATATTATAAAAATCACAAGCTCTTAGAGAAATATCTGTACAGGAGATCTCATTTTTAATTGTTTTTAAAAAGTGAGGAGGGGCAAACCTGTTCCTAGTCATAAGACTGTATCTTATTCAAACCATGCCTCCATCCGGCTATTTGAGATGCTGGTCAAGTCTGGCCATAAGAATGAGTTCCTTAATTCTAATGGCAAGGTATATGTCTGGGTGGAGGGGTGGTAGGGGAAAAAGGTAAGAGGAGCTCCAGTGTAGAGGACTGGAGAGGCTTTCTCAGCCAGTATTTGCGAAGGGTAGTGTGGATGACAATTAGAAAGAGACTATTTAGGACTAATTAGCTGCTACTCTAATTGACCTAATTGATAGATTTCTCTATATATGTCTCTATATACAGTCATGCGCCACATAATGACGTTTCAGTCAATGGACCGCATATATGATGGTGGTCCGGTAAGATTAGTACCATATGGCCTAGGTACGTAGTAGGCTGTACCACCTAGGTTGTGTAAGTACACTCTGTGTTGTTTGCACAACAGTGAAATTGCCTAAAGATGCCTTTCTCAGAACATCTCCCTGTCCTTAAGCAACCCATGACTGTAGTATATATATTATTTTAAAAGTTTGCTATAATTTCAAAAGATGGAATTTTTTTTTTCTCTCCGTTAATTTTTAAATTTTTACACAGAGATTCCTGGGGCTTCCTTCATTTTTTTTAATTTGAGAGTTTGTAGTGTTTCAATAGTGATTTCTCAACCATCATCTCTTCAACTGGCAATCTGGTTTAAAATTTGATTGTCTTTTTTTATAGTATTCAAGAGGATAATGAAGCAAGTATACTCAAACAAGTCCCAATTCTAAAGACTCAATATCAGAAACCAAAGCCAAATGTAGGCAGAGGGACTGGAACAGGAGAGATTTTCTCAAAGGAAGAGGCGGTTCTTACCTCTGGGGAAATGACAGCAGCTCTGGGAGAGATTGCAAGACCGGAAACCTCACCAAGGGAGCAGGTACCAGTGGAGGCTGATGCTGCTAAGGAGATGGAGTCAGATTCGAAAGAAACTGAAAGAAGAGGCATCTCTTCCGGGGAGAAGATACCAGAAATGATTGACAGCACTGTGGAGATGGAGACAGGTTTGAAAGAAACTGGAAGAGGGGTTTCCCCAAGGGACAAGGTGCCGCAGGTGACTGATGCCACGGAGGAAAGAGAGACAGATTTGGCAGGAAGTGGAAGCGGAGAAACATTCACACAAGAAGAGGCCCCAGAGGAGGTCAGCACTATCGGTGACGTGGAGACGGGTTTGGAAGAAACTGGAAGAGGGGTGTCCCCGAGGGACAAGGTCCTGGTGGGGCTCAGTGCCGCAGGGGACAGGGAGGTGGATTTGGAAGAACCTGGAAAAAGAGACACTTCCCTGACGGAAGAGGTCTCGGGAGAGATGACTGCCGTTGAGGAAACCCAGGCAGGTTTGGAAGAAACTGGAAGAGGAATTTCCTTGCAGAAAAGTGGAGCAGACGAGATTAGTACTCCTGGGGAAATAGTGGCAGGTGTGAAAACTACTGGAAACATAGACATTTCTCTAAGGGAAAATGAACCAGAGGAGCCCGAAGCCTCAAGACACATTGAGACAGATTTAACGCAGAGCAGTCGTGCTGACGGCGGCACTCTGCCGTCACTAAATCTCGAAGTACGTATTTTTCTGTCCTTTAAAAATTTTTTGGGGTACTTTGTCAGGGAAAGATTATCAAATTAGTTCCATGATTATTGCCTTTAAGTCCAACAACGTTTAAAATCTCTAAACGCCTAAAGTCGTTCTTAGCCCTAAATTCTGTGTTCCAGGACCTTAAAGAAACAATATGTTCTTTTATTTACTTATTTTTTTTGTGAGGAAGACCAGCCCTGAGCTAATGTCCCGTGCTAATCCTCCTCTTTTTTGCTGAGGAAGACTGGCCCTGGGCTCACATCCATGCCCATCTTCCTCTACTTTATATGGGACGCCGCCACAGCATGGCCTGACAAGCGGTGCGTCTCTGTGCGCCCGGGATCCGAACCTG